ATACACTAGATAGAATCGCCAAACATGCAGTCTTAAGCAAAATACAGAAAGCAAGATAACACATTCTCTTTAGATTCTCATGGTTGATAATGAAGCTTTAAAACCCTTTCAGTGGTGAAATCCATACCTATTTTTGCAGGAATTTGAATAGTTTCTATTAAAAGCTGCATTTTCTTTTTAAGTTTATTTGGGTTGGAAAACCTCAAACCACAATGCATTTCATTCACATCTTCCCAGGGGTATGTTAAATGGGACCATACTGAGGTCATCTAATAAGTTTTTAAGCTTTTTAAGAATTCCTTTAATGTACTACACAATCTTGGCCTGATTAAAAAAATATTTTAAGAAAGCACTTGGAAAAACAACTATTAAAATCTGTATGCAGATAATCTATATTATCTATAATAATAAAAGCATAATATGCTAATTAGACCGGACAGCCAAATGACCTTCTGGACATCATTCCAGATGTCCTTCCAGATGAAGACAGGGCGGCAGGGGCCAAGGCAGAGGCGGTTAGGAGCAATTAGGAAGGCAGGCAGGCAGGATGGTTGGGCAATCAGACAGGAAGGCAAAATGGTTAGGGATGATCAGGCAGGCAGGCGAGTGGTTAGAAATGATCAGGCAGGTGGGCAGAGGTGGTTAGGGGCGATCAGGCAGGTGAGCAGTTAGGGGTGATTTGGCAGGCAGGCAGAGGAGGTTAGGGGCAATGAGGCAAGCAGGTAGGCAAGTGGTTAGGGGCAATGAGGCAGGTAGGCAGAGTGGCTAAGCATAATCAGGCAGGCAGGCAGGTGAGTGATTAGGAGCCAGAGGTCCCTGATTGTGAGGGGGATGTCTGACTGCCGGTTTAGGACCAATCCCAGCAATTGGACATCCCCTAAGGGGTCCCAGATTGTGAGAGGTTACAGGTTAGACTGAGGGACTCCTCGCCCCATGCACAAATTTCATGCACCAGGCCTCTAATACTTCTATAATGCAAATAATTTTCTACAATTTATCATTTAGGGACAAAAACACTACCAATAATAAAAAGGTTTTGGATAAAAAATTATCAGTAAATATAGACCAACTCCCCACCCCCATAGTATTCCTGATTAACTCATCAGTGGACCCTGTAGCATCCTTTTAACTGTGCAAAGTTCTGTGGCATATAATCAGAGAGAGAAGGTAGAGAACCTTGTACCTATCAAAGAAAGAAAACTCATCTGCTGTTTAGGTAAAGTAGTAAAAAAAAAAAAAAAAAAAAAAAAAGATTTCTCCAAACACTACACAATAATGAAATTATTTAGGTTAAAAATAGTTTCTACCATCCAGTGAATTTTTGTTGTCTACCAAGATGAAAATGTAAACCACAAACGAAATGTAAATGGTTCATTTGTTAAGTACAGCCACAGAAAACGCTCTCCTACTTGGTGATGCTTCAAAACCTTTGTGCGTGTGTCTGGGTGTGTGTATCTGTGTGTGTGTATATATCTCTGTGTGTGTGTGTGTGTGTGTGTGCATGTGTGTGTGTGTGTGTGTGTGTGTGTGTGTGTTTGGTTAAACATACCCCCTTTCACCTCATCAAAGTCTCATGTTCTGCACATGTTCCAGGCCTTGTACTTCACCCAAGTCAGTTTTCAGTGGGAGCGGCAGCTGTGTTGGCACCGCACCCACGGAGAGCTGGGCCCCAGGCACCGGCACTGCCGCCCCCATCTGAACAGAAGCGGCCAGCTCCAGGCACCCAGGGCCAAGAACCTCCACAGCTCATCAGGGGGAAAGCAAGGGAGGACACCTTAAACGGAAATTATACTTTCACGGAAAGTGAGAAATAAAAGGATTTTCAATCATCAGAAAGTGAGTGGTTGAGAACTTCTTGGCATAGAGTGTGCTGATGCTTTTCTTTTCCTTTTTTAAGGATATTAGTTAGAGCTCAATTTGAAGCAAATGATCTCCATCTCCACAGGTACACTGAGTGTTCCTCTACCCATCAATGAAAGTAAGTAAAAGAATGTGTTTTTTAACAAAAAAAGATAACCACAAATGGCGCCATCAAAACCAGAGCTCCTACCGTTCCCTGAGCATTTACACCTGGCAGTCCCTTCTATGTGTCCTTACCCAACAGGATCTCATTTGCCATTTCCAACAATCAAGGAGAGGTCCCGTTTCACCACTTTCCAGCAGAGGAAGCAGAAGCGTAGAAGTTTATAAAACTGCCCATCAACTTGAACTCCATGGTCTCAACCATTAGGTTATGCTTAGTCCCTGAGCTTTTCAACCAAAGGCTTTTCAGCAAGCCCATAGATAGAGCTTGTCAGTCCCTGGATCATTCCGAAAAATCTATACTTTGCAGAGAATCAACTCATTCATTTGCTGATGCATGCATCAACAGATATTTATCAAGGACTTGCTAGTGAAGTCCATTTTGCATTTATTTTTCAGAAAGGAAGAAAATTACCAAATTCATACTAAATATCTTGAGTGTGGTACATTAACAACAATAAAAGTTTCTTGAATAAACTATCAAAATAGTTACTTTTAGATGCCCTGATTAAATGTGTGTAAAATCAGTTATTTTACGCAAATTAAGAAAAACACTGATTTTTTTTTCACAGTCTACATTCCTTCAAAATTCAAAATCATATGCACTTGTTTCTAACTGAGCCAAATATCTCTAAGCACAGGGGAAGGACAATGCCCTTGCCTCTTATGCAAAAAAGTCCTACTTAACAATTGTCACAGTTGCCTTTCATTATTTTTTAAATGTAATAATACTACATTACTCTCTAGTCTTATTAAAAATACAGATAAATTTTATACACACAATTTAGCATTTAAATTCCATAGAATAATAAAATTATCGTATTTTCTGACATATAAACGACTTTTGAAACGAAAAAAAGTCAACCGAAAATCGGGGGTCATTCATTAAAAATTTAATTTAAAAAAGAACTGGTGTTGCCTTGGAAGTGGGGGGTAGTCTTATACAGCGAATATAGGCCTAAACCTATGTTTTAACTATAAAATTAGTGGGTCGTCTTATACGCTGGAAAATACGGTATGTATAAGAGACCAACTCTAATTTTGCAACTAGAATAAAATTATTAACAACAATCAGTGTGATTAAGAATTTTTGAGGTTAGGATTGTAGCAATAGAATTTATTTTTTGGTATGTAAGAAGGCAGTTTTCAGAGCCTTTGGGGGAAGAAGGAAAACTTGGTATCCTGGCTTAGATAATTTCAACCTTCTCCATTTAGGAAATGAGCTTAGTACTGTAAACATACCATAGACCAATAATAGAAATTTCTTACAGGTCAAAAAGTTGAAATAATTAAACTTAACTACAAGGGAAAATTGAGAATGAAAATTCTAATTATCCTATATTCAATTTGAACCAGCCCATAAAATGAACAATTTTAAGGTGATGGGTGTATCCTTTTTCAACAAAGCCTTAAAAATAGGTAATGGTAGACTATATCTGATGATTTTTTTTTATGGTAACATTCTTTTCTTTAATTACTTTACCCCTGATTAAATACAAGTGGAGCAACAAAACTGCTGAAAAACTCTCAGGAATTATCTCTGGAGAAATATACTCTCCAAATGAGTTTAAATGTAAAGCTCTACACAGCTTTGAATCAGTTTTAAGCAGAAAAGTGACAATAAAAACCAACCATCTTCCCCCGCTTCCTCTTTCCTTCCCTCCCCTCCTCCCCTCAGAACAGCGTAAAGCCAAAGATTTGCCTTTTATTCAAGGTTATGAAGTAAGAAGATGGGATGTCTGGTCTACCACTTTCAGAGTGTGTGCACCGTTACCTCACCACAAGGAATCACAAGGAATTAATCTGCTGATGTGGTGGGGACCCTTTCCCATAAACTCAGTGAGTACCCAGTGGGCTCTTTCATTTCAAATACTTATTGACCATTCGTTATTTTATTATAGACAAAGCTTTGCCGTATTCACAGTCTTGGCTGAAAATAGCACAGAACAGAATGCCTAAATTCATTCACTTTTTTTCTTCAGTAAATATTGTAAACATTGAATTAAATCATTACATTTTCTTTTATATATATATATATGTGTGTGTGTGTGTGTGTGTGTGTGTGTGTGTGTGTAAGATAACGGTATCAAAGTAAAGGGTTAGGTCAGTTTTCAACTAAGTTCTCTTAGCTTAAAAAGTGTATTCCATTTTCAACAATGCATTTCAAAGAATATCTGCCACTATATAAATCAAAAGAATTTTTTAAAATCTAGAAATTCAAAACTTTGAAAACTGATAAGGTGTAAAAATAATCACAGTGAAACCTTCCCAGAGAAATGGAGTTCTAGCTTTGGGGATTAATATATGAATCTCAGAAATTATAAATTGCTTGCCATGATATTATTAAAATAAAAACATTATTTTGACACTATCTAAAAATTAACTATTTAAACAATATTATGGAAGAACTGTGTTGTTTTTCAGTTGACCCTTTTTCCTTGGCCCCACTAAGGAGCCTGTATCAAGGTAGAGCACAAATCTCTATTCAAGTACAATTTATTCTTCATGAATAACACACATTAATCAAAGCATATAAAAGCCTCTCATTTGCAGAATTAACTATGCCTTGCTTTGTACACTTTAAGAGACCCATATTATGAGAAATAGGCTGTAACTGTGAAAGTTCTCATATTTCTTTTTACAGAGGATGTTTTCTTAATGTCTGACCCCAACATCTCAGTGGTCTATATTTCTATTTTTCAAGGGAAAAATGCCCTGACCTTGGAAATTTTATGTAGTGCCGGCTGAAGAAATATGTTCAATCTGGTAAACATAAAAGTATGATTGTAGACAGCTCATTTTAAATTCTAATTCTTTCTATTTCATACCCATAGTTTAACATAACAATAAAATATCAAGTTATATGATTAAAGTGTAAGACTAATGACTAATTTATATTTATATGAATCAATCTGGATAGAAAACAAAAGCAAATTTTTGTTTTAATCATGGTGTAATAAAAACTTCAAAAATCAAACCTGAGGTTCTTCAAATACATTCTTCATATTGTTTATTGGGCCATAGGGGACTTTACTGCCTTCAAAGAGATGTAACCACTTGCTGGTCATTTCTTCTTCAAACCTAGAAAGAAACCAAAAAAGATGCATTTTTATACTCTAAAGAAGGTGTCCGTTCAGAGCATCAACCTATAAACCAGAAGATCATCGTTTGATTCCCAGTTAGGGCACAGGCCTGAATTTCAGGCTCAATCCCTGTTAGGGTGTGGAGGAGGTGGCCTGTGGCTATCATTTTGAGAATATCATATTATTGGGCAAAGTAATAGGTCTCAGGCATAGACATTGATATACTATATTACTCCTCTAAACAAAAAATAAACTAATGTGGTTGTTTTAAAACATGTTTCATCACCATTATATTCCAAGTGCATCAGACTTAATAGCCATTACTAAAAATAATCTTAATTATTTGTCCATATTGTGACTTACTAATCAGAACAAAGTTATACATTACTTATAAAGACTGATATCTCAGGTTATCCAAATGAATTCATTAAAGTCCTTTACCTTTGTTTTGTTTTTAGTATAACTTAAAACTGAAGTTCATAGGTATAAATGCTTATTTGATTATCTTCATTTTCTCTATAAGGGAGGAAAGGGAACCTAATTCATTAATGAAATTTACTGTTTTATATTTCTTCTCTTTTAAGACAGAGCAGACTCTTGGATCCTCAAAAACATTCAAAGTTTATATACAGTATATGAAAAACTTTAGAATTGCTAATTGTTAAAATATCAAATTATTTTTAAAGTAACAATCAAGGTGAAAAGCATTAAAAGCATTAGCTAAGGTAGATTACTGGCAGCAAGTAAATTACTTCACTAGTGCAAATAGAGTAGAAATGTTTGGTATTCAAAGACTTCTACTCAACTCTCTTATACATAGCTACAATTCATCTCAGATCTACAGATTCTATGGAAAATTATATTAGAGAAGTGGACTTCTTCCACTATAGAAAAAGTGTAAAAACACCATAAAAACTTTGAGGACAGTTTTCTGATTGTCTTCTAGTAGATACAAAGAAAGAAAAAAAACTTTGAATTAATGTATTATCTAAAAGATAGACTACTACACAAACTATAATGTTTATATATTCATATCAAATAATTTACATTATTATTTTACATTTACATTTCCATATAAGTAAGAATCTGATAATGTTTTGTGTAGGTAATACTACATTTTAGGAATATAGTTAATCCTATTCATGCATCCACTTATTCTACAACCAGCTACAGAACATCTTGGTTATTGTCTGAAAATATAATGCCTCCTCATTATGAGAAATATTTTTTCATTATAAATTTTTAATTATAAATTAGTAATGTTAATTATCCCTAGTTAGCACACAATAAAATATGTCACTCCCAAATACTGAAAAATATTCCTTCATGGGAACACCGCAATGCAAGATTAAATGTCTTGCATTAACCAATCCTTCACATCCATATTTTCTTTTCAATGACTGTTAAAGTCATCTCCTGGCTAAGACTTTCAAAGATTTATATAATTATATATCACCAAAATGATGTATGTTGAAAGAATAAAAGAGATACTTCAAATATAGAGCCTTTTCACTCAGAGTGTTAATTATTTAAGCTTTCATAAACAGAGTATTATAATGATTAGTCTGCTAAATTTTCCAGACAAGTGCATTTATCACCTCTGGGCTCACCCAAGTGGCCTGGAAGATCTACACAGAAAACATATGTCAATAACCAAACAAACCCATAGCTGCAGGCTTGCCAAGAGAAAGCTCAAGGGGATAGTTGAAGTTTTAGTATTTATATAAGCTTTTCACCACTGGGCAAAAGAGAGGGATTTATTTTATGTTATGGAAAACAGTGGATGCACTTTGGAAATGAGACGGGAGAGAGGCAGCTTCTGGAGATGCAGTTGTGACCACTGTTTGTGTGTTTGTGTGGGTGTGGGTGTGGAATTGCTCATAGATGCCTTAAACTCGGAGACAGAGCATGTCTGCATTCCACTCCTCCCAGAGGATATCTCCGTCATTTCCTACTGAAAATCTATCTCTTGATCTAATCTGATGTAGAATCCTTTCCTTTATCTGTGCAAAAAAGAAAGAAGTTATTAAGCGCATGTTTTATTAGCCACAAAAATTCTGCTAAAAAATTATAAAAAGCTGATCTAAACCACAAGGAAACACAATCTGAAAGATAAGACAAGTAGGGTGTCCCTAGATCCAGTTTAGTGATCCTCAAAGCTAGAGCCTCCAAACTCAAAAAATAATTCGAGCGTGGATGGTGTGGCTTGTGGTTGAGCTTTGACCTCTGAACCAGGAGGTCACAGTTCGAGTCCAGGTCAGGGCACATGCCCAATTTCAGGCTTGATCCCCAAGGAAGGATGTACAAGAGGCAGCTTATCCATGATTCTCTCTCATCATTGATGTTTCTGTCTCTCTTCCTCTCCCTCTCTGAAATCAATAAAAGTGCATATATGTATATATAATAGTCATTGAAAAGAAAATATGCACAATTCTATAATACATAATCTGTATATTGTGTTGTTTGTTCACCACACAAACCAAGATTCCTTCCATTCTCATTTATCCTCCCTAAATCCTCTTCTGCTTCCCCTACCCTCATTTTCCTCTGATAATCAGTTATCTGTGTCTATAAGTTTGTATGTTGGGGTTTTTTTGCTTAATCCCTTCACCTTTTTCACATAGCCCCAAACCTCCTCCCCTCTGACAGATGTCAATCTGTTCTCTATCTATGAATCTGTTTCTATTTCATTTACTAGTTTATTTTATTCATTAGATTCCTCTTATGAATGGAATTCATATGGTACTTATCTTTCCCTGGCAGGGTTATTTCACTTAGCGTAATGGTCTCCAGGGCCAAACATGTATCCCAAAGGGTAAGATTTCAGTCTTTTTTATGGCCAAATAGTATTCCATTGTGTAAAAATACCACAGCTTTTAACCCACTCATCTACTGATGCACACTTGAGCTGCTTCTAAACCTTGGGTATTGTAAATAATGCTACAATGAACATAGGGATGCATATATGTTTTTATAATAGTGTTTCAGTTCTTAAGATGAATACCCAAAAGTGGAATAACTAGGTCATAAGGTTAGTTCCATTTTCAATCTGTGGAGGTAACGCCAAACTGCTTTCCACAGTGGCGACACCAGTTTGTATTACCACCAACAGCACACATATGGGCCAACACTTATTGTCGGTTGATTTATTGATAATAGCCATTCTGACAAATGTGAACTTATATCTCACTGTCATATTTATTTGATGATTAGTGACATTGATCATCTTTTCATCTAGTGTCTTCTTTAGACCCTTCTCAACAGGTACCTTCTCAGAGTCGAAGTACCCTATATACAAATCCTTTACTAGCTATATGCATTCCAAATTTCTTCTCCTAGCCTTTTGATTGTCTTTAGTTTTATTCACTTCATTATTCTTTGTCCTTTGAGACTGCTTTTCAAGTTGGTTTAAAAAATAGTATCTAGCTCTTAAGCTTGTCATGAAAAATTAAAGTATTAATACTTTAAAGGTACATTGTACTAGTAAGTGCTACATAAATGCTAAGTAAATAAAACTATGCTACCATTTCTGGTGAGGCAAACTGTTGGCAAGGAGGGAGAAGAAATTAAAATAGAAGTATGGAAATAAAAAGTTGGTACAGGGCTACAGTCCATAAATGCATTGCCAATAGAAAAATGTCTCGTTAGACAAATCTAAGTAAAGCCAAACCCAACCAAAGAGATTCCTTAAGACCCAGGCTGGAGTCTACAATGCAGTTAACTATAAACAGACCTGTGACACTTCCATAACCCACAGAGAAACAGCTGGAATTTGTTGGTCGGCATTTCTACCGTAAACAGAATCATAGATTTAATATTTCCTGTAATTTCCTCAGACCTTATTTCCTCTGAGGTATTTATCTCTACACATTACTGATAAATTATGGTTGAAGTTTATCTTTTTTCCTCCTAGCATTCACTAGCTCTCTCCTTTGTCTGCATGTCAATTCATAGGCCACACAATGTAGGGAGTAAGAAGAGTATATCCAGGAAACCCAATCACCGCCTTCTAGTTGAGTTGCTCAGGACTTTTCATACAACTGGCTCTTAAACTCAGTGAGACACTTACTAGGCGAAGTAGCCACTATGTCTTAAGAACCACATTAATAATTCTCATCCACACAAATCATTATTCACAGCTCAGAAACACATTCTGTTCTGTATAAATTGAAAATGAAGTGTAGGTGATAGTTTATAATGGTTTTTGGCCTGACCAGCTTTGATATGACTATCTGCACAGTCTAAGCAGCATCACTGCAAACATAACATGGGAAGTCAATGAGAATATTATTCTGCTTATCCCTTTTGTATTTTATAATAATCTAGGATAAGATTTGATCTCTGTACTTTTCTGTTACTTTTTATTTTATATTTTTATATTTTATATATTTTTGTTGATTTCAGAGAGAAAGGGAGATGGGGAGAGAGAGAGAGAAACATCAATGATGAGAGAGAATCATTGATCAGCTACCTCCGGCATGGCCCCCACCAAGGATCAAGCCCACAACATGGGCATGTGCCCTTGACCAGAATCGAACCTACTGAGCCAAACCAGCTAGGGTATTACTTTTTGTTTTTTATATCAAATTAGCTTTTCCTGAACTTTTAGAAGGAGGCTTTGTTCAAATAGCCTTTCTACCATCACAGAAATCCCTCTTCAGTTTTCTTGTGTGGTGCTAAGAATATATATACAGTAACTTGCTTTTCAAAACTTATTGAGGCTCTATCCCTCTATTAGATTTATTTGTACCTTTTCTGTCCTTATGTCTTTTATCCATTTCCTGCTTAATTTTTATTTCACTCATTTCTCTAGTGGAGGGTGGTTTTCAAGAAGCTATGTCATACATGCCCTCACCCCATCCCACCCCCCAGTGTCCTGTGTCCATTGGTTATGCTTATATGCATGCATACAAGTCCTTTGGTTGATCTCTCACCCCCACCCCATACATGTGCTGAGGGATAGGGGGAAGGTTAATGGGGGGAAAGGGAGACATATGT